TACTAGTTCTAGTACTAGTTCTAGTAGTAGCACGAGTACTCGTCATAGTCGTAGTAGTAGCGAGTAGCTGTAGTAGTTATAGTAGTAGCAGCAGTAGTAGCAGCAGTAGTAGCAGTAGTAGTAGCAGCAGTAGTAGTAGTAGTAGTAGTTGTTGTTGTTGTAGTAGTAGTGTAGTAGTACAAATAGTTGGCGACGCAAAAAACTTTCGCAAAACAGCAATTTTCTTTAGCGGACCCATCGCGGAACGTTCGCGACAGCATGTTATGTTGTGCCCGTGGTCGTTTTGCTTTAGATCAATGCCCGACTGTCTTCGTGGGCACGAGTTGTTGATCGCACCCGCTGTCTCCGAATCGCAGTCCCTCCATAACAGGGTTGGCCACACACACACACACACACGTGCAGAAGCCTGAGCTGCTGCTGCATAAACCTGCAGCGAGCAGGCCAGTTCTGCGCAAGATGCATTCGGAGATCAACGGTGACACGTTGAATGTAGCCCAACCTGCTCCAGAGCTACAGCCAGCGCATCCTGTGCTCCAAGCCGGTTGTCCCTCAGGTCAAGTTCCTTGCAAGGAAGCGGAAGTGGGGACACAAAGCGAACTTAGGCTTGCAAGCCTAGCAAAAGACCACGCCTCCAGGCCTGTACTGGCGGATGTCAACGCTGCTGCGATCGCAGGAGCCACGCTCTGGCACAGAGCAGATTCTTGCGAAGCACAAGGCGCAAATGCGGCGCGAAAGAAATGCGATAGCCGATCAGACCTGTCGCAAGCCGTTGCAAGAGACGTTGAGCTGCCGGAGAGTCTCAGATCGCCAGATGGAAGCCGAATCCGTGCCACTTGCGCATGACGTCCGTGTGCTCGTCGGTGCATTTGGGTGTGCGGCCGAGTTGGAAGCCAAAGATTGAAAGAGCTTGCAGGCCGAGGTGGACAGCCCGCAACGCCTCCGGAACAGCCGCTCGCTCGATGGAGAACCAAGGAAAAGATCTGCTCCTTTGTCCGTCCGCCTTAGGCTCAAGAACTGCAATGACGGCACCGCCTGCGCGCCACCTCAGCTAGGGCAGAAGATAGCAGAGCTCTGCGGCACTGAACGCTCAGGATATCTCAGGATACCCTCAGCGGCATGCTCAGCTGATCAGTGAAGCCGGCAACCTGGACCTCTTGGAGTTTCTGCCAATAGAACAAGAACCGTGCGGTTGTTCTCGTGTTCCTTCGGCCTCGAAGCTGTCACTCGTTGGCCATGGCAAGCTGCTGTCCAGGTAGAGCCTGCAACGGATGCAGGTTTCAGGCAAAAGGGAAACTCAACTTGGCTGGCATTAGGCCTCTGAAGCCCACGGGAAGCACAGACAGCCTCGAATTGAGGCGAAGATTGAATCCAAAGGTGTCGGGATTTTCCCTGCCAAGGCATCCACGCGCAGCATCACCGAAGACGTTGGCAGGTGGATCTGCACAGACATCATGTCACACTGTTGTCACACGAAGCTATGTTGGAGTATTGCCTCGTTTTGTGAGAAGTCGAATTCTCGCAAGGACGTCACTGACCTGGATAAAGCTGTTTCCAAACACCTCCCGAAACTCAGGTCTTCAGGTTCAGGAAGCTTGAGGACTGTACATCAGGGATTCTGCCAGCGCTTCACCACCTTCGTCTCCGATACCTCTCTTTTGACGCATGAGAAGCTGCGCATTTCAACTCACAGCGACTAGCAACAAATACATCTCTAGCTCTACAACGGCCAAATGAAACTCATCTTGCAAGATTAGAACTCACCTAGATGGCCATCTAACCACCACAAGCCTTGTGCCAGAGACATGCTTAAGTGAACTCAGGTACTCACGACCTCCACACTCCAAGCCTTTAACACAGCCTCTTGCAGGGCATGATACCGTTTGCCCTCAGCCGCAGCACTGAGATACTGTGGCCTCCAGGTTCAGAAATGTCCATGGGTTCTTGCTGCCATCATGACGCGAAGTCTCAGACTCAGAAGCGTGCAGTTCAGAAGGACTTCTGAAAGTGCTTTGGCACCGGCATCACCTAACCTGTTCCGACCTCAGATGCCCAAGTCTAGCTGCTGCACATGTTGAGCACAGCCCCTGTTCTGTCCTTAGCCCGACCCTGTAGTGGAGCCGCATGCAGACTGGGCCTTCGACTTAAGTCCAGCATTTCTAGATGCTCTTTGCCCGATTGTAGCACCTCCAAAGAGAGCTAAGGCCCGTTAGGCTTGTTGCATTGTAGGCTTCAGAACCGTCAAGCCCCAGAAGCCTTGGCGGCACCCTTGGCTCCGAAATTGTTGTCACTAAGATCCAGCTCGCGCAGCCTTGGCAAAAGCGTGCAGCAGGCAACGCGAGCTTCTGCGAAGGCCCACAGCCAGCCTCTAAAAGCTGCTGCTAGTCGGTGTTACCTGCTTGTGTGAAGCAAAGGCGACGGCGTCTGACACTTCGCAACCTCGCAAACAAGCAAAAGCTGCCCCACGTAAAGAAGCGGAAAAATCCGAGTTCGAAGCAGCGGCTGCCAACCTTGGCAGCCGGATTCCGTCTCCACTCCCTTCATTTACAGCATGATACCAGGACGCATCCACCGGCAGTGTCTTACGAAAATCGGAAGAGTGGTTTCTGATATCTTTCATATGCTGTTTCAATGTCTCGGTGCAGTGGGCTTTCGGAGGTGTCTGTGGTTCGGACATTTTGGCATCTTCATCATGCAGTAAAGCTTCTGTAGGTTCAAGGTTCGTGATCGGATGCTCAGCCCAGTGGGGCAGCAAGTGCACGAACGGGACACGAAGTGTCCAAAGCAAGCCAAGTAACTGGAAGACACCTTGATCCCGCAGGCAAGACGAACGTAAGGAGAGGCTGACCAGAATGGTGCTCCTTCAGGGCATCAGCCGCTCAGCCACCGGCATTCGCAAGGCATGGGCATGGACAAGCATGGACAAGCAAGGTTCTTCTTTCGCACTTCTGCCACATGCGACTAATCTTTGACACCGACTTTGCGGTTCAAGTATCGCACACGAAGCCCATAAGTCTTCAGACTCGCCATGTAGAAGATCAGTGTTGCAGTCAACATGCTGCGGTAGGCAGAGATGCTCCCTGTCGCACACCTCGAGAAAATCGCAAATCGTGACATGCAGCAACTCACTTGCGAACTCTACTTGCCGTGACTAAAAAAAATCTTTGCCGCAGAAGGATGAAACTCAGTTGCCGGCCTCCGTGCCAGCAAGGTCAGGCCGGCGAAGAACAGGAGAGACAAGCCAGTTTGGGCAATGACGTAGAAAAGAAGGTCGCCATGTACAACAAGCGAGTTTTGACACACTCGGGCAGGATGCATGAAGCAAAGAATCCTCAGATAACACGCCCACGCACATACACACGCGTGTCTATCTTTGCTACGTATTATTGCCGTCAAACGGTAGCTTTAGGCTTCTCGTGGTGCAGTGGTCCGCGGCCTTACGTTCGTTCTGTCCTCTTCTTCGCCTGTGGTGTCGGGTTCTGCGAGCTGCCAAAGCAAGGCCCCGCACCGTGAGGGCCACTGGCCTCCCACACCTCCCCAGACCCACCCCGGCAGGTGGTGTTTCAGACTTGAGAAGCATAACTCCACCATGTACCGATCAGCGAAACCGGGTCGTATACGCAAGCCATGGAGAGGAGAGCAGCTCTGTCAACGGGGTCAAGACTTGAGAGATTTGCTCATTTTTGCTTGCACTTAGCCTCTAGTTCCTGGCCGAGGTGCACCACAAAATGAAACAATCCATTTCTGGCGCCGTCCAAGACTGTCGCATCCTGGGTAAAGATCCACGGCAGAAAGTTTAGCACTGATGCACCAAGCAGACCTCAGCATCAACGTACGCAAAGTAGTGAGACCCAGCGACAGCAACAAGATCAACATGAATATACTATGACATCGATGCGAGGCACCCCCAACCGCGCCAACTCCAGCAGCACATGTAATAGCTCGTCGGACGAACAGCCGTGCCTTTGGGCTGGATCCTTCGAGAATGAATGGAGGAAGCTTGGTGGATGTCGCAGCTGCCATCGGGTCTGCGCACAAAGCGAAGAATGCGAAGACCGTTATCCAAATCTTATATGCAGCTATCATCGGCAATGGCTGTGTGTTGTTCACAAAGCCTGACATGCACGCGTACATAGATAGGACACACACCACAATGAAGGAGACAGGAAGGAATATTGAGAATACTGGCTTCGCTTCCGCGAAGGATGGCAGGAAGTCTTCTGAACTTGGCAGAGGAAGGTGCCCCTTCCGGCGCATCAAAACGAAATAAGCACAGAAGCTGGTTGTCTGCGCGGCGACTGTTGCCCAGGCAGCACCTGACGCTCCCCATGGAATGACAGCACAAAGTAGCCAGTCGAAGCAAACATTCAAAAGAGCCGACAAGTAAACCTGCACGGCCAGTGGTGTTTGTGTGTCGCCACGTCCAACACAAAGCCCATACATGGCACAGGCCATGCTCGCAAATGGAAGTCCAAGAGCTCGCACTACCACATACTTCCGTGCCACTCCCATCATCACTGGCATGGCTCCGAGAGCTTGAAGCAACTGTCCACCCAACGTAAGAGATATCAGGGCAGCAACGACTCCCACAAAGAAACCCACCGAAAGGCAAGTCGCATTGAATCTCTTCAATTTTTGCTCCTCTGCATTTTTTGCATACAGATTGATGGCCGCAGTCGAAACCGTGCTACAAATCAGGTAGATGAGGTCTGTAACTGTACAAGCAGGTCCAAGGGCTGCCAACTCCACTGTGCCAGCACATCGTCCAACAAATGATGTATCAATGGTCGACAGGATAGGGCCTGTCACACTCACTGCGGCCAAAGGGGCAGCAAACTTCAGCAGCTGCCATCTGGTCGGAACTGCAACATCTTTTTCAGCTTCGGTTTCCCCACCGCTGCTTCGCAAAGGTCGACGTCTCGTTTGTCTACATCGGGCATGGAAAGCCAGCTTGTAGCCAGCGCAACCTCGTAGGGCGAGGACCAGCGCCATGGCACCTGTGAGAAAGCTGCCAAAGCGCGGAACTGCCTCAGCAAAGCGGTATGCTGAGATGTGTGGGCGGCCTGCGGCGTACCTTTGCGCCAGGAGCCGTTCGTTGGGCTCTGGGGGCGCACATCCGGCGCCGGGTGCCAAGCGGAATGCACTCCACGTGGTGCCCCGTGAACTCGGAAGGGCCATTGCAGGCATGTTGAAATCACCAAACGTTCGAGCCCTTTGTTACGCGCGTATGTCCATGTGACGAGCTATACGTGCATGCAGCATGGCATCTCCGCTTCAAAGCAAGAAAACTGTCCTGGCCATTCCTGCAACGAGCGTCTCCACCGCACCCGGCATTCCTGGACTTCAGAACGGGTCCTTACACTTCCACCAGTGTCTCAATCTGCGCGGCCGCGGCCTCCCACCGAAGGCGGCTTCTCCTGCCGTTGCCGAAATTCGTGATTCGAAGCTCTGGCATCCTTGTGCACATTCGCACGTTGTGCACCTGCCCAAGTCCGGGCGGTGCAGGCGTGAGATCCTCGGTCGATTACTTTCTGCCACGAACTTCACTTCGTGGCCAGGTTGCATGCCGAGGGCTCGACTAATTTGCGCACCATTTGTGCCACGAGCCACAAGAGGTTCCGCGAAAGAATTTCCTGCACCCAGCCCCGGCGGTGAGTACTGCACATCCTATGTTCATTTCATATGCCACGGAGTGAAAGACTGTTAGCAGTTAGCAGTTCAGACTACGAGAAGCGTGGGAATGGAGAAGCCATGTGCAGCGCAGGCGAGCAAATTGATTGACTGATTGATTGAGTTGCTCTGCACTGCTATCTCACATTAGCGCCCAGTCTCCCGTTCCTGTGTTGAAACCCCGCTGCAAATCCATCTTGTCCTGTGCTTGTTTCTGAGCTTCCCTCCTATGCCCTACTTTGCCATATCCACACGCGCACGCGGCAAATCGCAAACTCTTGGAGTAGCTCAGTGAGGCTGCCAACGTGCAAGACACCGTTCACAGAACACCGAGTTGAATAGTGCCACCTTGAAGATGCGTTCATTGGCTACTGTCACTTGCTCCACCCACCCGATCAGTTCACAAAATCAGTCGTTCACCACTTCTTTCCTTGCCGTGACGGCGCTTCCCCTCAAAATTCAGTCGGCAATGGACTCGCTCGCGCTCTCAGTGCGCTTTTTGTCGCAGGCATGGTTTGCATAGCCGTGGTGATATGATAGCAAAGTGATGCAGTGCAGGATGCTCAAGTGCTTCTGATTAGGATGGACCAATGTACATTTGCTTGGGCAAAGGAACGGCAGCACCCTTACTAGTTACTATTAGTGGTCTTCCACGTCTCAGGCCTCGAGCGGAAAGACGCTACGGGGGAGTTCCTCCGATGGGAGTCTCACATCCTGCGCCAATTGTCTCAAGGCAGCTCCCGCCGAGACGGTGCTTGCTACGAGCACGACATGCCTCGAGGAACAGAGAGGGCTGCGTCGCATCACCCAGATGAACGTTGCAAACGGAGTGGCGCAGCATCTTAGCAAGAATGCAACGATCAAGCATGGGACAACTTGGAAGTCCCTCCTGCATAGTCTGTGCCCCCCCCCTCCGCCCCGTTTCATTGAAGAAGTTGTAGCCATGTCACCCTGCGTCGCTTGGGCTTCGCAGACTGCGTCTGGGTCTCGTGCTGCGGCCTAGGCTGCGCAGAAGGATTCCACGACCGAATGCCGGTGCAGCCATGTAACGAAACACGCCGCTTAATGAGAGGATCTTAGCCAGAAGCTGCAAATCCTGGGAGAAGCAACTCAGCAGGCTCTCCTGCAAATGTCTGGCAGAGCAATGAGAAATCACGAAGCATGCAGGCGCTAAGCAGTTACATGTACCATCATGTACCCAACAGTAGAGCACTGCCTGCAACTCTTCGTCCAAGGTGGGCTGAAATCGCGAAATTGCCACCGCCTTGAAGAACCCAGGCTTCAAGAAAGCAAGCGAAAGCAAGCGAAAGCAAGCGAAAGCAAGCGAAAGCAAGCGAAAGCAAGCGAGCAGCTGGCCTGGATCGACCGGCCCTGCGGCCAATCCTGGATCACCTGACCCGCGACTTCCCCGGCTCGGCTCGTGCGGGCTCACGTAGACATGCTTTTGCTGAATATGTGCTGCCATGACTGCAAGCAGCTTTTGTGCATGAAGCCCTTGCTCCATTGGTCCATAAGCACTGGGAACCACTTGCTAGCATGCACTCGTGCATGCAACATTTAAACGGCGTTGCCTTGGGCAACGACATCTCTGAGAGCCGTCGCATTCCACCAAAACCTTTACACCTTCCCGCTCTGGAAAGAATGCCTTTGAAAATTATTCAAGGCGTCCCGTTCACAGGTGTCAGCCATCTTTGATGGCCAGCTAGGGCCGCATCAAATTGTATACTCTAGCTAAGATTGCTACCAATATGGGATCGAACCCTTCAGGTCCTCGAGGACATCTTGGACCTAAGCTGGACACTTTGGAAAGGCTCTGTTAGTAAGGATGGCTTCAAGCGTCCGGCTGCTGGTTTGGCCTGGGCTCCGCGAGGTGAGTAGCTGTAGCCCGTGGCCTCGACAGCCTCCTTCGTTCGTTTCACAGGACCTCGGCAGTTCAGACAGAATGACTTTTGGGTGGGTGAAGTCTCGCAACCGAGGTGCAGATGAGCCGGTGTCTAATGGGCTGGGGATCCTCGAGTCCTGAGCTTGACCGGCTCGCTCATCGACCACCATTTGAAATCATTTGAGCATTGCAGCAGAAGCACCTAAACCCTCACCAAAGCTATCGCCAAGCTTCGCTGTTCCGTTGCTTTGGAGGCACATCTGGTGATACTACATTTCACGGCCTGCGAGCTGCGAGCTGACAGAAACCACGAGACGAGGTCCGACGGCCTCCGTCTTGAATGGAGGCGGTGGCAACTCGGCTCGGCAAATCGCCTTAGCCGAGATTCGCAAAGAAACCCGGGCCGGAAGATTTCTGCGCCGCGGGGCAAACTCGCAACTGCGGAGCCACAGCAGGCTTGAATGCGGCCTTGAGACGACCCCTCCTGCGGTACGCTGAACGGAACGACCCTGCGCCGGCTCCCAAGTTACACGTGACACTTTGAGTGAAGGTGTTACAGCGCGACGCTTCCCCACCACGGACACCTGCCTTGTGCCCACGACCTTTCTTGGGCTGGCCTGCAAAAGAGCAGACGGGCAAACGTTGCGCCAAAGTCTGGTTCGCCTTGCTCAGCACATTCTGCGACCACTGCAGTAAGCTCAGGAAGCAGTCGCAGCGACAGGAACAATTGCAAAGGCAAGGCTTCAAAATCTGCAAATACAACGAAGCAACATTCCTACAACAGTCTGCGAAACCGTCGCCTGGACCTTCTTCCAAGGCTTCCTGGCGCCCTGTCATCGATGACACGTGCTCAAGCATGCTGCTTCACAGCCAGACGACTTGGGCCGACACTGCCATGGAGGTCCTTGCCGCAAGAAAGTTCAAGGCGAAGTCAAATTGTCCGATTGAGGTCTGCTTGAACGTGAAACATGAAAATGTTGTCCTGAAGCTTCGGCTCCGATCGTGTCTGACCGAGCAGGCTGCTTCCGTAGCCTTGGTTGGTAGGTGGGAGACACCGCACGACTCCGAAGATGGAGAAGCGTGACGGTGTAACATTTGGCGTCATTGGCATCAAATGCTGCACTTCATTGCGCTTCAAGGCAGCTAGTCCCCTCTCTCACTTCTAGCAGAAGATTAGCATAGGATACAGGTGCTGTAGGTCAGTGTATGTATACATATGTTGATATACATGAGTAGATCTGTATTCCCGACAAAATGTGTCGGAAAAAAATGTTCGGCATGAGGTCACTAGACAAGTGATGCCGCGAGGCGAGCCTTGACCGCCTGCCACGCCCACGTCATTTCTTCTGCCACGCCCAGGTCATTTCTTCGGATCCATCTTTGGCTTTCAAAGCGCCCCAACTCCCAAATGCCTAAAAGATAGCGGGCACACGGCAGTGGTAGCTTCAAGATGCCCCAATGATTCAAGTGCTTCCCACACCCAACGGGCCACACAATGCGGCTTGTTGGTCTCGTGTGGGCCGGGGATATGTGGCATTTTGGAGTTGTGCGGCGTGCTGGCGGAGTGGTGCTGGGACGTTGACTTGAGATCATTACGTCCTGGTTTGCACTTCTGGGATGTGTGAAGACTTGCTCATAAATTGAAGCCAGTGTGCACTATCATGTCCTGTGATGAACTTTTGAAAGATCAATATTTCCCAGCAATACGACGTTTGCATTTATGATGGTTCGTACAAGTCTGAATCTGACTTGTGATCACGTTCGCACTGTAGCGTGTTTCCTCGTGATGTCCCCGATACATTACACATGCGTATGTCTGTGTGCAAATATACGCACACATGACCACACATTCGCACATGTATCATGCAAAAAAACATAGGTGATGCGTATACATACACATATTATGTATATAAAGCAAAACCATATAACAGCATGTGTCTAGTCATACAGTCCTACACAACGTGTAAGTATTCACGAATCCGTATCTTGGTGTTGGTGTTGGTGTTGGTTTGGATGTTGGTTTCGGTGTTGCTGTTGCGGTTGCGGTTGCAGTTGCTTCAGTTGCTGTTGTTGCTGTTGTTGTTGCTATTGTTATTGCCGTTGCTGTTGTTGGTGGTGATGTTGGTGTTGTTGTTGTTGTTGTTGTTGTTGTTGTCGTCGTCGTTGTTGTTGCTGCTGCTGCTGCCGCCGCTGCTGCTGCTGCTCCTGCGGCTGTTGCTGCTGCCGTTGCTGTCGCTGTCGCTGTAGCTGTCGCTGTTGTTGTTGTTGTTGTTGCAGTTGTTGTTGCTGCTGTTGTTGTTGTTGTGGCTGTTGTTGTTGTCGCCTTTGTCACATTTCCTGATGTGGTTGCCCCTGTTATTGTTGTTGTTGCTGCTGCTGTTGTTGTTGTTGTTGTTGGTGGTGTTGGTGGTGGTGGTGGTGGTGGTGGTGGTGGTGGTCGCCGTCGTCGTCGCCGTCGCCGTGTTCCTCGTCGTCGTCATCGTCGTTGTGTAGATTGGTTCTTGTGTACCTAATATTCGGGTGCCTCGAAACCGAGCTTACGTGACAGCATGCTGAAACCATGCTGGGAGCTCAGAACCCCACCAGCGCTCCACCCTGACCCACTGTAAAACTTCATGCTGCTGTCTGGGGATTGGTATAGCCCGTGTGCATGTGCGAGAGTTGGCGTGTCGGGAGGCCTGATAGGGGATGTGGAGGGCAACACAGGATTTGGGCTCAAAAGGCCACACTCAAAGGAACTGTCTTTCGCGTCGTGTAAGTTTTCTGCGAAGAACAAATAGGCCTTGAAGCCAAGTTACGGCTCATGCCCATGCCCAAGGCAGCTTCTGAGCGATGCTTCTGTTTCCTTGATCCAGGCACTTCGACACAAACACTGTAGCCCAAAAACAGCCGGAGACCGAACACAGAGAGAAACAAAGGCAGCAAGAAGATTGGAGCCCAGTGTTCGTAAGGGCGTGAGCCGGTCTGTCTCGAAAGCCCTTCGAACCGGCTGCATCCATCCTGACTTCCACATGGCAGATCTCTCGGCACACTGGAGCGAGCAGTGGGTCCTCAACGTTTCGCGCAGGTTGACCGTGTCCCTGAAACCCGTTGAGTTGGCGTACCTCAGACGCGTCTCGACTTGCTTTTGGGTCCAAATTGAAACGAGGAGACGAGGACATGCTTTTTTCGCCGAGACGCAGCGCTGGGAGCAGTGGACGGCTCTTGCCCGCTCCAACAGAAGCTTTCTGATGCTTTTCCATATGCAGCGGTGCTCCATCACTTGCCTGCAGGAGCCGTCGAAAATGTAAGGTCAAGTCAGGCTCAACAACCAGCCGTCCGACAAGTCTGAAGCACAGGTAGTGGTACAAATCATGCCTTTGTCGCCACGGGTGATTGTGGGCGTGAGTCTTGTCTAGCCGTCGTACATCTTGACAGCACCTGCTGACAACATACAGTACCGACCTCACCTGTCTACAAGTTGTGGAGAAAGCAGCCTCCGCCACTTCTTGAACGGTCTCCAGCGCGTTGAAGGCCTTGGCCTTGAGGGGTGGTTCTCTTGTGAATATTTCAACATGTTCATAACTCAGGCAGCAACCCTTCCAGCTGGAGAGTCCACACCTAAGCCGCAGCTCCACAAGAGCAGTCGCGAGTTCCTCTACGATCGCAGCCAGCGATCTGCTGGCGAGCAGCTGGGGAGAGACTTGGATCCAATCGAGCTTGAAGACGTGGTGGAGGTGACCTCACGGTAGCGGCCGTAACCTCACGATGCGTTTCCCACAATGCCAGCTTCCACCCGAGGCCTCCAGAGCCCATGGCGGAATCTCCTTCGGCGCCTCTATTTTAGAGGTGGAAGTGGGACGTGCTTCACACTGGAAGTGCAGCTCAACGCGGCCTTCCCCCCGGCCATGAATTCGGACAGCTTGTCCTTCATGTACCTGTGCTGGGTTACGCCCCTGTTATCTCTTTGTTGCCAGAAGCGAACCGGCTGTGACATGGAAGGTGCGCACTTGCAGAAGAATAGCCTCAAGCAAAGCTCTGAGCCCAGGATGCGCTACAAGTAGCGCTCTGAGTCTGAGCCCCAAGCACATGGGCGTAGGAGCTTGCCCCGCTGGCCCCAGCTCGAGCTTCAGAAATGAACTCCTGTATGGGACGCACAACTTGCGGAAGGCCAGACCGATCTTTTAGAGGGGTATGCCGCCGGTATGCCTTTGTGACGTGGGATACGCAGATCCGCATCGCCAAATGCTGCCTTCTGCGCATCACTGCCTGCGACAAGGGCAGAATGCTTTGGAAGATTATCGGAGTATCGCCGTCTCAGCGGGGCCTGCAGTGCCTCACGGCCAGAGTCGGTGTCTGACTTGCCTCACAGAAAACAAATCCACGCTTGCAGAAGACGAACAAGCCACCAAGCCGCCAGTAAAGATGGTCCACAGGAATGTCTTGCTCCTCCTGAGAAGGCGGAGGCCGAGCCTAGTGAAGCAGCAAAGCGACCACCGTGCCAAGTGTCCCAATAAACTTGTCAAACTCCACAGCCTGCTTGCCTGGCAAGGACAAGAAGATCGCACGGCAAGATGTTGCAAGGAGGCTGCCCGCCTGGCTTCTCGGCGAGCCACTCTTTGCTGATAGCTCCGTAAGGCGGTTCTAATGGATAAACGTCGTCCAGGGTGAAGATTGGGTCGATAAGCGCATGCCTTCGAAGGCTACAGAAACCTGCGAGACTACAAACGAGCACGCAATTGCAGCATCAGGCGCTGAGTGGCCACCAAGTGTGGTGAGTCGCGGAAGAGTCGCAGCACCGTCTTGCAGGACTCGCGGTAGCCGATGAAACTGGCAGCTTCGGGCCATAGCTCTTTGGAACTCGATGCTCACCGAAAAAACTCACAAGGTCCCCAAGGCAACTATTGACTCCTGCTCAGGCGCTAGCACTTCCTCACCCTAGTCCAAAGGGCCCGAATTTGCTCCAACGGAAATCCGCGACACCCAAACAAAGCCCAGGCCGGCGCTCACAAGTTGGGATAGAGTGGTACAGCAAAGGTGGCACAGCGAATGTACTGGGACCTCCATTATGCAATGATTGATTGATTGATTGATTGATTGATTGATTGATTGCCTGTGCGTGCGAGCACCCTTGCATTGCACTGAAAGCTGCTCCATGGCTGTGCAACAGAGGCATCGAAAACAGTCTAGGGCTAGGCGCGAGACAGCGCTGCGCACAGAAGAAATAACTAAACATGAACATGTACAAAGATAGCACAGGCATGCCTGAGACGAGACATGACCCTGCCAGCCAGCCGAAAACCTTTGGGAGAGGGGGCAGGCGCCGCATGCATTTGTCGCCTCATGCATGGCACTTAAACAGCTGCCATGTGGCGTGATGGCACAATTTGCTGCCAAGGAGGTGGCAGGGGGAACGTCACAGATCCGAGGAAGATCGCCCCCGCTCAGTTGTACAAGCCGTTTCCCGGTTGTACCTACCTAGCTCTGGCTCTTGTCAGGTGTGTGCTTGGTGCAACAGCTACTGCCACGTAAGCAAACTGAGTTGCTCAAAGGGGAAGCTGGCGTCACAGAAACAACCACGGTACAACGGCAGAACGTCATAAATCGTATGACATGTTTCCGCATCGTGGCCTCGCAGGATTGCGGAAACGCATCCCCTCTATGAACTTCGACAGGACGATCGAGTCGACATGTTCCCTGGGCGAAGGCGAAGGATGTATGCAGCTAGGAAAAAATGGAAGCACCGAAAGATCTGAAGCTGGCAGAAGGAAGAGATGCAAAAACATCGCTCCAACAGCCTGCGACACCTCAAGACTCAACACTCTACGGCCCTGTTTATGGATGGTTTCTGCAACTGCAGACACGCAGCCAGCTGGTCAAGGGAGTATTCCATTTCCTCAGATTTCGGACTTCCTGGAAAAAGGTGTTCCGCGGAAGTTCACCGAGTAATGCCTTGAGATTGCTTCTTCTCCGCAACAGACCCCACCGAACAGCACGAATGAGGACATGCACATGGTCCCTAGCCACTACGAGTTACTACTCCTTGGCGAGAGGCAGATTGATGCTACTCCTTCCAAAGCCAGGCATGTCCAGCAGACAAACCTCAATTTTCAAGAAATACAGAACACTCTTGAACCAGTGCACTTTAACGGTTCTGAACGTGCGACCCGTGTGCCGTGAAGCCCTGTTTCCACAGTGGCTTCACCAGCTTGGCCCAGCCCCACGAATCTGTGATGCGGCCGCTGTACCCTGAGCAAAATAGCTCCCAAGTCAAGGCATGAAACGAGAGCGCTATCACCTCCTAGACGTGTAAGCTCTGAACCATGGATTAAGATGACCAGCTTGCCATCGTGGATCCTTCGTGTGTCAAACTGCCAGTGCCAGTCTCTTTTCCTGCAAAACCGCTTAAACACAGGAAATCGGAATGATGCCAGAACAACTGACATCAATGGAGCGAGTCGAAAGATTACTGCCGGAAAAGCTGGATGTTGTGGTAGGGATCCACTAGCATGTTCGAGAGACTTCATGTTTTTCAGAGTCCTGCGAAATCAAGAAGGGCTTGACAGACAAAGGCAAACGTTCTAACAAGTGTTGGCAAGGGTCTCGCCCCTGGCTTGCATCTGCTGCTTGGCCGTAGGATTCCAAGCAATCCGGTAGTCCAGCTGGAACGTGTCCCTCCGCTCCCAGCAAGATCAGCTACTTATCTGACCGCAGGAAGCCAACGCAGCATCAGGGCCTGACTCCAAAGGACTGGTTCCCTTCTTCGAGCACATGGCGCAGGAAGTTCCGCTCCTCCGCAACCGAGTTGCTTGCCCCCTGCAGTGAAATGCTGTTGACCCCCTGACGTCCTTCTCTGTGAAGAGTTCGCCCCAAAGGACTGATGCTGGAGAAGCCTTCAACAATCAACAGTTGAGAATGTAACCGCTAGCTGCTGGGTTCTGCTCCTCGAAGCTGCCCACGAAGGAATCTCCGTGAGTCTGCAGCAGATGATAGCGCTTTGATTTCACGTCCTGGTCCACGAGGACTGCGGGGTCACTGTTTGCAAGTGAGTCCGGTTGCGGCCAAAAGTCCCGAATCGGTGCTGCCATACCCCTTCTCTTACTGCTTGGAGGCGCAGTCGGTCTCGATTAACTGGCAACAAACTTCAATGGACGCCAACCGCGAAAATCTCCTGGGACAGTGCATGCCACGAGTTCACCTAAAATCGACTGAAGCAGAAGACACAGAAGCCGACAACAAAAAGCAAAGCATTGGTCGCATGGCAAGTCTCATCAGGAAACACTGGATGTTGCACTCAGGTTCTGTCGTCGCCAGTTCTGCCATCCCGCGACTGCGCAGGCACACTTGCTCAGTTTTGGTCCTATCCGGTGCGGCAGCGGCTGGGTGTGAAGACATTGGCCGTGCATAACCAGGGCTTATGTTGCCAGCGGCGCATGCCGCATTCTGCGTGCATGCAAATTCTGAACACTATACCATGCAACTGGTCCCTGCAGAGCCAAGCATGCGCAATCACGCACGGACATTGTGCAACCAACAACACATTTCCTGAAGAAAGATGCCCTCGGCACAGAGGTTTAGTCTCACGGCCTGGAGGATTCGCTGTATGTGTGCTGGACCGATGATATACGGTCGCAAGTTCCAACGGGCAGAAACAGAGCGACCTGCCCAAGATTGTGTCGAGACGGGTCGTTTCTGGTGCCGAGACCCTTCGAACCAAGATGCTCAGACAGTCCCCAGCCTTCTGCACGGTGCTGGGCTGCTTGCATAGCAGTGTGCGTTGCCTTGTCTATCAGATGAAAGCTGGCAAGCCCGAGCTCTTGAAATGTCAAGGCAGCGGCCCGATTGAGCAGACTCTCCCCTGACAGTTTCCTCTCCTGCTCAAGCAAAGCCGACGTCAGATCGGCCCCCGTCGTAAGCATCTGTCTGTGGCTGCACTAGCCCGGAGTGCCTGCTCGTACAGCTCTTGGGCAAGTGAGTAGTGTGTATCCAGCAGACTGGAGCGTTTTGCCTCCAATTGCACATGCATGCGAATGACGAGGCAATACGCGCCCTACCTGCTGAACAGCATCCAGATGGGACTTCATGAAGTCGTCGGACATACTCAGCCTTGGAGCGTACGACAGCTGGCGCGGCTTGGATAGTTCATGACATTTGAACATATGTCAGCCTAAGCCTGTTCAGCGCCTGTCAGGAGGATTCGGCAAACATTGCTACCAAGCTATACTGACACAACCGCATTGACCGACTGCGGGGCTCCAACCACGACGAGGCAGAAGCCAACATCTCCGCGGCTTCCCAGCAGCTGCCGAGGCGAGAGTACCTTCCGAAGATTCCGCGATGCAGCTCAAGCGTCGCCAAAATAGGATGCAACTGGGATGCCTTGCCTGGAGCGCTTTATGCAGCGAGACACGACAAGTCTAACCTCACTCTTCTCCAGCTGAGCCAGCTCCTGAAATGCTGAACTTGCACCAAACGCATGTTGGGCAGTTCGAATATCAGTTGGTCCTCACTGCGCTCCGTTTTTTCACCTTTAAGCTCCTGCACCGGCCCCAAAGAGCCATCAAGTAGCACGGCGAAGCTTCCTCAGCGCGGTCCTTGAGTGCCCAAAGTAGACCGTAGCGCTTTTCTGTCGGTGGACACCTGACGGTTCTGCTCTTGACCGCTAAGGCCAAGATGGGAAACCTATGTGACTGTGGAATGTCCGAGTACAATGCCCAGCTTGTGCCCAGTTTGCGTAGGCCACCGCGAACCTACGACGGAGCTGTGCGGTTTCCGTCGCGTAGAGGCTTCCCGCAAATCGCAGACTCGAAGACGCACAAGAGGGACCTGTCCAGATTTGATGATGGCAGCACTTCGCGCCCACCTGGCTGGTCGCCACCGGCACATCAGCGGCTAACAAGCAACAAGGCCCACCGCGGAACAGGCTCAGAAGTATGCGACCTGGCACTCTCTCAAGGTGATTTTTTGCTCGGAGCTGGAACATACATGACGGATCGACCACATGCATACAAATCACACGACGGCCCAATCCTCGAAGCCGGGACACCGAGACCAGGTTGAAGAATTCTGGGATTGATGAGGTCGCGACGTCGTAGCCACTGCTGCCTCCCCGTGCAGGAGCTGATAAATTCCTGCAAGCCTGGCACAGCTTGCTGGCTCCAGATCTTCCAATGCGATGAGTGACGCCCTCTGGGAAATTGACTCGACGGCGGCGCGCTCCATTTGTTCCTTCTGAACAGTCCAGCCATCTGACCAAGAGCAGGCATGAAGATTGCGCTTTGTCCACAACCAACACTTACAGTGAGGTCTGCCTTCACTCTCATCGCCGATCAGGCCGATGGACCGCACAGTGTAATCCTCACTGGCCTGCGGGTTGGTGCTGTCTGCACACCTCGCGCATCCCTAAGGCCATTGGCCCATGCTGCCCACAACGCACGGAAGCATGTTCTCGTGTGGCAAGGCCTCTCGCACGAAAATGTCTGCAACTCCATAGAGGGGTAGCACGACCTGGCTCACGAAGTCACAAAGAAACTGCTGCAGGCTGCTGCAAACTGCGCTGTAGGATCTGTGGCCTCCGAGTGATCGATGGCGTTGCTATAACGACCGACCTGCTCACCTAGCAGCTCCACATCCACAGGTGATAATCAACAATCACAGCAAACATGGCGTGGCGGCCGTTCACGAAGAGCGACAAAGCACCAGACCTGTGACCGTGGGTTTGCAGAAGCTGGGACAACCAAGGACTTGCAAGCACAAGGTCGTCACCATTCTGCCAGGATTGCCACCCTGTCCTCGGTAACAGCAGAACATACAACCTTTGCCGGTAAAGTAAGTCTACGAGTACAAGACATTGCTCAGAACTGCACCTTTGCATGGAGGTCACTGCCAATATGCAGATACCTGCACTGACGACGAGATTGGTTCCGTTGCCATGGACGAAAGCTTGTGGCACTTTTGCTGTCCATCCGCCGATGATTTGCCAACACGCCGTTGCACCTGCAGGGCAGCTAATTAGGTCTCGCACAGATGCACGTATCGGGATGAAATCCCGGCTGTGTTCCAGGCCCCTTTCAAATAGAAGGAGGTGTCACCGCCGGCAATCCAACAGTCCTGGTGTTGCTTCAGAAGGACCACTACTCCAAGGATGCCAACTCGGGCCACGAAAACTCCTGTCTCTCTGTCTTTGCCTTCTCGCTGGCACGTGGGGGTTTGGAGCACAAACCTCAACTAGGACAAACTGTACCTGCCTGCATTAACACACAAAGCCTTTGTGTCTTCTGTTCTGTGGGTCCAGGCCGATGCAGAAGCCCAGCTCGCAATCAAGTTTCCTCAAGCAGCTTGGCATTGCACAGAAGCTGTGGACGGATTGGTTGCAAGCTGAGTTCTCTGCCGGCCGAGGTTCACTGCTTTGATAACTTCGACCTGCAATGACGTTGGGTTCGAGCATCGATGTAGCAGCGTAGCATGCTTCATGTGGTCTTCCACGGCTCTCCGCCAAGACGCAGGCCTCGAACAGCTGACCCAATGGTGTGACCTTACCAAATGACATAGCAATTTTCGCAATGCTTCACCCGAAATCTGCGGTCGACTTCCACCGACTTGCTGCAGGGTCTGTCGCAAGGCAGAACACGTTGGAATGAAGAGCCCGATAAGCTGTTGAAGCAGGCTCCAGATCAGCAGTTTTCGGCGCTTCCATGGAGCACAGGGTTGACTTCACTTGTTGCTGCAAAAAGACCATCACATATCCACACATGATTTTGAGTGCACTGCAGGGATACGATGGTGGTAGGCGGAGCAATGAATAGACCACGTCTGATACGTCTGATCGAGTTTGTAGAGATGCGAGTAGCCGAAGTTGAATGTAGTATCCGGACAACACTGAGCCGACAGCTAGTTTATGTTCTGCATGTCCCGCATGGTGGGTCGCTATGGCTCTCATGGTCTGTCGTTTGGTCGTGTAGAGAGGAAATCCCACAGTCTGCTAGCAATCATCTCTTCGTATCTCTCCCCCGCATGTCAAAAGGAGCCGTGTAGCCGAGCTGGCATGTATGCTGGTGATGGGGTCTGCTAGGTCTCTTCTGCCAGCTGCTTCCTGCTGGCAAAGTAGGGTGCATGCTAGATCTGCTTTCAAGCTCCTTCACGCCCTTGACGAGGCTCTCACGCCCGAGAATGCTCCTGCAGTGTCTCTACGGCGCTCCTGTCCAGGTCGCTCTGTGTCGCTGCCGGCTCCGCTGTCGAGTGGAGCCAGTCGAGCAGGTCCGCAGTCAACGCGTAAAGCATCAAGACCTTGGCGGCCTCTCGCATGTTCAGCTTCCGCAGCTGCGGCACAGTGCGGCACGCATATGCCCACCCCACTTCCGGCTTGACAGGAGACGGGTGTGACCCCCATCAGCCTTCAGGACCTCAGGCCCAGCTCGTGCAAGGTTCAGATCCTTCTTTCAATGCATGGCTTTCATGCTCATCCCGGACATTGCGCCTCAAAGCAGTGAGAGCGGAAGTGGGAATCGCTGCTGTCACGGCGTGGAAGCTCTTACACGGGAGCTTGCTAGTACAAAAAGCCTGCTCAACAGCAACAGTATGAAGTTCAGATTGGCAGCATGCGCAGCCATGTTCATCATTGCTAGACCCGGTTCATCACTATGCCCTTGAACAGCCTATCTGAACTTCTGAACTTTGAACCCAAATCGAGAGCGGTTGTCGAGGCAGTGTCCAAACAGGTCTGTGAGGCTAAGAATTAAGAGGATCTGCTGACCGTGTGGTCAGCAGTCGAGGCCTGACGATGCTCAGCTCGCAACAGTGACTGGCTGGTTTGTCTGGACGAAGCCGTCTCCCTGACAGTGTTGTGGTAACTTGCACCCCATGTCGACCGGGCGATGGCGAACACAGCGGGCACCTTCTGAAACCAGTGAACTGTGCGACCCTCGACTTTGACGACGCTGCCAATCGACTCCTGCTCAAGCCGTTTGTGCTCGACTGGAACTGCTTCCATCTGACATTCAAGTGCATACATTCACCTGAAGTCCAAAGCAGCGCACTTACTTGCACCGTACATCTACACCGGACATGACCTGCCACAACCGAAATGCAGTCAACAGAAGGCAGCATAGCCGCATCAATGAAATCCTTGGCAGCTCGTGTCTCAAACTGTCTCCGAGGGCCGGCTTTGCAAAGACCCTTGGGCGCTTGTTGTGTGACTTCATTATTGAAACATGCATAAATGCGCTTGCTGTACACATACACTCCAGCAAGACAGACTGGAGGCGCGCAACACCTGAGAAGCTGCAAGCAGCACCGTACGGAACCATGAAAACACACCGTGCCGAAGACACACTTCTCACTTCTCACTGTTTGGTAATTTGGTACTAGGACATGCGCATGTGTCCCGACTTAAGCACGCTCGTTTCGGGGGATGGTTCCAGTCCAGTTCTTTGTACATTGTACAGAGGGCTGCAAGACAAGAAACTTGCAGCGAGCATGTAGAGCTCTCTGCGATGCCTTGGCCTTCTGCTAAAAGGCTGCGCTTCAAAATGATTAAACTCCAATCAGTGATTTCCGCAGTCTCCAGGACCAGTCACAACCCCGACCTTCACTGTGCGGCCTACGGGTAAAGACGCTCATGTATCGAATACTCCCTGAGGAACATGCCGAGTGCAAGAAACTGCCGACGGTAAGTAGGTGGCCTCAGGCGTGCCAAAGAATCGCGCGTTGGCACAAGTCATGAAAGCTGTCCTGCCGCGTACATGCGATCACGGTGCGTTCTGCCACCTCTGGTTTCGCACGGAGGAAGTGATGATTCACCTTCAAGCTCTTGCAACCAGCATCATACACAGGCAAATCTCGCTCAACACACGAACTCGTAAAGCGTTTGAAAGGCATGCGCAGGCCTCGGGAAATGAAATCACCTTGCAATCGTTGTGGGACCTCTGGGCAAGCAAGGGTCAGCGCAATCAGCGGGATGTTTCGACCCAAGCTGCTGTCACAAACCAGCCTGAGCACAGGACCGCTGCATTTCAGACACAAATGCCTCTGACTGCGCCAAAGGAATGATGTCATCCTCACATGCTGAAGGAGCCCGCGGTTGGCTGACACACGTCAACCTTTGAAGCATTTTCCTGTCCTCCTCCCCATGCAGGATCAACGTTGGGAAAGGCAGGCTGCGAACCTGCCATCCCACGCCAAGCATTCCGACACAACTCCGCAAACTTTCAATACCGCGTGCCTGATGAAGCGGCGACTTGGCATGCAAAGCTTCCTGGACATCGCGCTCTCTCCAACAGTTACTCATACACATTCTGAACCCGTCCTCGCCATAACGTGCACGAAGCAGTGTCGAGCCGAGCCAAATCAGTGGCGTTCTCCTCGAGACTTTTCGGTCTGTGTGGCTGTGCACAGGATGGCGACGGGTGGGGAAAGCGGTTGCGCGACTCCTCCGCCATCCTGCAGTGAAGTCCAGGTCCAGAACAGGGTTCAGGAGCAGAAGCCCTCAGCGCGATCTCAAGACTAGCGGCATGCAGGCACCACTCTGAACAGTGCCTGCGAGACCGATCTCTTCACCAGCTTCCAGGGCCGTCATGGCAGCAAGGTGTCCACCCGCGCTGAGGCCGCCAACCACAAGCCTGGCAGCGCAGGGAACCACAGCCACAGCAGCTCTCAGCCCCTGAGACACTTCGCGCATCGGATGCTGCGCATGTCTCGCCACGACGTGTACCCGGTGGGAAAGGAAAACCCGAAAAAGCTGGCGCAAGAATTAGACCAGCGCCTCGTCTTGTCCAAACCCAAGGTATCGGCCTGCGGCAACAGGCTGTCTCGGAAAGCCACACCACGTCCATTGACATCTCTTAGTTCTGAGATTCTAACTTCTGAACGTCTAGAGAGGAAAGAAGTCAGAGGGCGACAAGAATAGATGGAGGCGCATGCAGATCTACTACCCTCTTCTGCCCAGGCCTCTTTGTGCAGATACCGCACGCATCGCTGCGCATCGTTGACGGCATCAAAGGGAACATCTGCTCGAGGATGCGTCAGCCTAGCTCAGAAGCAACGCAACCTGCCTGCGTCCCCATGTGTCGTGTGAGGCTCTCCATCCAAGCCACCAGAGGCGATATTGGCAGCAGGCAACTGCCACTCCAAGGTCTTTCGCGATGGTCTGCAGCCGATGCTAAGGCCCAAGTGCATCTCTCCGCCTACAATCGAGTCACGGCAAGGCCTGAGCATGCTTGTAGAACTGCGAAGGAGAGCCAACCATCCAGGACCTGCACCACAAGCAAACAGCCGCACACAAATCCACGTCCGAAAGCACAAGAAGCAACAGCGCTCGAAATCGGGGACCAGGACAGCAATAACAGCTGTGTGACCAAACCCCTGGCAAGGTCTTCGCTGTCGCTACTGCCAAAAAAAGAGCTGATTCCATATCACACTTCTTCACCACGGTGGAAGGGAGGAGGAAACCCGTCTTTACCGGTTCTTTCCCTCAGGGCACCCGCCATGGAACAGGACGATGCAACCAGGCTTGTCCGACCTTGGAACGCCAGCTGGACATAGCAGCTGCCAAGATCTGTCTGGGGCCACGGCTTTTGCGACTGCGCGTCGGGTGGTCGAAGCAAGTGTAGTCGCAAGCCTTCTTCAGGCGCAAAGGTGTGCGCCTGCACAAGCACCGCTGTCACAAATGACCATCCCCAAGGGTGCCTCTGACATGACCAGTGCACATGTCGGCTGTTGACGCAGCAATACGCAGCAGAGCCAAGCCAGAGGCTTCTTCGAAGCAGGCGGTTCAAGCTTGACCCCACACCCCACGGGCTTGCATGCGCTCACATGCTGTCGTTGCTCAACTCAGGAGAGCCAGTAGAGCCTTGCTTTCCAAACCTGGGCATCATGTACACGAGTAGCCACAATCCGCGCACTCTCCCATGCAAAAGTCACATGTCAGTTTCACCTTCAACGTGACATTGCAAAACTCGAAACTTGCCCTACTAAGAGTCATTCTCACCTCTCACCCAAAACTCAGACGAGGGTCTCTAGACTCTACACGGTAAGCTGTACTGCTTCGGCATGGAGGAGGAAGACAGTGACGAGGAGGCAGAAGGGCAGGAAAAGGGCAGAACAGGACACAGAAGAATCAAAGTGCCTGACCCGTCGAGAATGCAAATGATCTGTCAGTTTGGCATCAAGCGGGATCTTTAAGATGCGACCCACAGGCTGCCATTTGGACCTACGTGTTAACATGTCTGAACTACATGCCGTGTGACTTATTACCTGACTGTACACCGTGTGAACAGAGCGCTTGTTCCAAAACTGACTGTGAGTAATCCAAGCTGGAGAAGCGCAGAGAGTTGACGTGATGGCTACACACATAAACAGCTGAATATGTAAAAATAGAAATTCACCTGTTTTCGCTTTTTCCTATGTACCCACACACATGCACACGGCACCAAAGTACGTAATCGGCTCCCGCTATCTCTGCGATCTCTGGAGCATCAGCAAAGCAGCCTGCAAAGTTCGCGACTACGGCAAAGCTTCTCAGCAGCATCCCAGTGCCGAAGCTGACAAGGAGGTTGTCGTCCAGCCACGGCGTTGCACCTCGCAACAAGCTTGAAGCACTGACGGTTGGAATGGTTGGGAGACGCAAACCATAATTTACCATCGACAGCAAGTACTGGCCGTGGAGGGCCTGCAAAAGTCCGAGTTTCAAAATCTCAAAGCCGACTGCTTCGGCAGGTAGCAAATTGCGGGTTCAAGCGGGCGAAACGATGCAGGAACGAGGATAAGTAGATCAAACGGCCACCCAAAGGTATAGGAGGGCAGACCAGCTCCCTGTTTCTTTCTTGACCTTGCAAACCCAATGCATGGGACAAACGTGGACAACTCCATCATTCCAAGTCTACTGCCTCGTGTCTAGCAAGAGCTTGCCAGGGATTGGGCCACGGCCGGAATCCAGAAACAGACGACCAAACAGAGTCAACCTCCTATAATTATCGCAGAGAGCCTGTGTTGCAAGAGCTGCTTGCCTGTCGCACCGCAGCAGCTACAACAAAGAACCCAACCGGGCCAGACCTCCGGCCACCTCGCAAGCAGCAGCGGCGAAGCCACCTTCAGCAAACATGATAATGACGTGTCATGACCTCATGGTGGCGTGAGCACGGGCATGGCTGATGGTAATGGTGATTGTCATGCTGGTGAACATGATGGTAGCGACGATGGTGCTTCTTTTCGTCCTTACTATCGGCCGAGGCCTCGGCATCCAGTGGGTACCAGCAGCGGAGGCATTGAGCCGACAGGCAAGTTAGAAAGTCCACCCCTAAACTCGGTCAAGAAGGCGACGCATAGCAATGAGGATGTTGTCAGTCTTGTGCTCATCCTTTCTGTTATTGCTACTAGCAAAACCACAACTAGCAATCATGGCATCAAAAGTATGTTTGGTACGTTTGTTATTGTATCGAGTATTGCTACTGAGATTCTTGTTGATAACACCTTCACTTATCGGATGTTTCGTAGCATTTGTGAGCACAGCACCAGCAGGAAGAGTAGCAGTAGTAGTCGTCGTCGTCGTCGCGGGAGTAAGAGTAGGAGTAGCGGTAGGAGTAGGAGCTGGAGGAGCCATGTCTGTAGCAGTCGCAGTAGCAGCAATAGCAGCAGCAGCAGCAGCAGCAGCAGCAGCAGCAGCAGCAGCAGCAGCAGCAGCAGCCGCAGCAGTAGCGGTGGCTATGGCCGTGGCCGTGGCAGTGGCAGTGGCGGTAGCAGTAGCAGCAGCAGTAGCAGCAGCAGCAGCAGGAGTGGGAGTAGGAGCCGGAGGAGGGAGTAGGAGTGGCAATTGCAGGAGTAGGAGCAGGAGTATGGAGTTGGAGAAGTAAAAGTGGCAGGAGTGGGAGGAGTAGGGGTGGGAGTGGGAGTTGGAGGAGTAGGAGGAGTAGCAGGAGTAGGAGGAGTAGGAGTAGGGGTAGGAGTGGGAGTTGGAGG